GTTCAATGTTTCTGATGCTGCAGTGATATCTGTGGTAGGTATTAACCCACCCTAATGTTCTCTTTTTCCCTCGTCTCCACTAAACTCCCTGGTGCTGCAGAGTCTGTGGAGCTAGGCTGAGCTTGCCTATGGATCTGTGTGAGTTTGGGAGTGTTCCCAAGAATGGAACCCTGGTTATATGTAGTCACTGGCTATAGGTAGGATGGATGGAACCAGCTTACACTGTCATTAGCAGGATATGAAGTCCTCGTCTTCTAACAATCTTGTTAACACTAGGCACTTCCTGTCTGTCTAATTGGAGAATGTAAAATGGTGTCAATTTTCCTATTTCTGATTGCTAGTGAAGTGAGGGAATCTCTTTACATACTTGTTCGCCATTTGGGCTTCTCCTTTGGGAATATTCTGTTTTTCTGTTGTATTTTATATCTTTTTCTTATTGATTTGGAAAAGCTACTTATATATTCCTTATAATATACTTATTAATCTGTGGCATTTCAGACATTGCAATTATTGTAAGAATTTTTCCTCTAATATATCTGGGTTTGGTTGCTAATATTTGGTTTCAGACTTTGCTGTCTTCTTTTAATTGTGGGTAGGAGTAAAAGTTGGGGAAGGGAGGCTTTTATTGCTTTCCTGTGGAAAATTCCACAAGGACCTTCAATTTACTAATTTATGTGCAGTCTTATGTAAATGTATCTACCAGATGTCAGCTTGAGACCTCTCTTCAGAGCTGGGTGAAATTGCTTTGAAAAACTCGTCTCTCAATTTGTTGTTACCAAATAAAGTAACCCCTAGAATTCTATAAATTCTTGGATACTTATATTATCAAGATCCCCTTGGCTTTGGGTCTCTTCTGTTCTGTACCCACATGATAGCTCAATGTCCCCTTTCCTTGTGTCTCAATAAGAAATTAACCTGCACCATACATTGGCTAATTTTAAGTTGGTATCTAAAGTTGAGGGGGTTGTAGCATGGTGTTGCACCTTGAAACTTAGCTTCTGTCACCTTGTTTTCTTGTCCTCTTCTCACTTCCCCAACTTCACTGCTGTGAGTTCTTTGCTCCATTATGCTGAGCAATTTGGCTCTCCCCAAATTTAACTATTCAGACCCCCAAATGCTTAGTAAAACAAAATGTTCTCTTATAGACTGACACCGCTAGAAGCCAGCTGGGTTAGAAATAGGGTCCTGCAAAGAGAAATTGCTCTCTACTATTGCAAAACTAGTAAATGGTTTTACAATAGAAACAACCTAATGAGAGGTGAGGTGGCCTATTTTTCAGAATGCATTTTTTTTTTTTTTTTTTTTTTGCATTAGGGTAGGTGAGCCTTTTTGGAAGGGGAAACGGCAAACATTTCCAGAGCACAGTTGCCTTTTCCTACAGGGACTAAGGCTTTATGCTGGTTTTATTAGTACAGGTTATAAAAAGAACACAGATCTTGGAAACCAAATGTGCTCTGATGCTTATCATCTGCATGATGTTGGATAGGTTGCTTATGTGCACTTGTCCTGTCCATTGACCAATGAGGATGTTAACATCTACTTTATAGGTTTGTTTGGAGGGTTAGAGGTAACATTGAGGGCCTAGTATGAGTCCTGCCATAGAGCACTTGTTCCTTATATGCTGGGACATTATATAGTTCAGTGTGACAGCGAAGAACTCTGGAAGGCATCATCAACACCTGGCACGTCCTTTGGCATGGTTGCTGAGCCTTTTGAGTGACAAGTAACTGATGAGTGGTATTTTTGTCAAAATGTTGGAGAAAACACAAATGAGTTTTCTGAAATTTTCAATTGGTTTCTCACAAAGAAGCTTACTTAGCAATTGATGGTCTTTGATGGTCTTGGGTTCTTCATCCTTTGACATAATTTATTGTCAGAAAGACTATGTGGCTTTGACTTTAGGTAGTGTAAAGAAATCCTAAGTTCTCTCTTTAAGACTACTAGTACACATAGGGAAAATCATAAAATCATTAGACTTCAGATACACCAGAATATCTATGATGAATAAGGCTGCAGAAATCATCTGATTTCAATTTTCATATGCATTGTTTCTAAAAATGTTTGCACCAAAGTGAAGTTTTGTATGGAAAAACAAATTTCCATTGGCTTCTACAAAATTTTCAACTAGATATTTGTATAGCAAAAAATTTGCCCTTCCCCCGACTGGTGTGGCTCAGTGGGTTGGGCATGGTTCCACAAACCAAAAGATAGCTGGTTCTATTCCTAGTCAGGGCACATGTCTGGGTTGTGGGCCAGGTCCCCAGTGGGGGGTGCGTGAGGGCAACCAATTGATGTTTCTCTCACACAGCGATGTTCCTCTCCCTCTTTGTCCCTCCCTCCCCCTCTCTGTAAAAATAAATATAAAATTATTTTAAGAAGAATTTTGACCTTGAAATGAGCCACCTGTAAAGAAAATCAAATCCAGTGTCATAAGATGACTAGTCTATTTAGTTTTTTCAGCTACTGCATGATGATGTAGTTAAGTGGACAATCAATTTACATGACCAGTTTGTGTGCAGTTAAAAGCCCCTATAATATGCAAACTCATGATACAGGGAAATATAGGTTTGTATTTTTGTTGAACTTGTGATTCTCTTTGTTATTTTTGCACCTGCGACCTCTCTCCATGTAATCGGAAGGACTTGTTGGCTGGAGGAACTACTGTATCAAATCATGGCAGATCCTCTAAAATCCATTTATTTCCCTAGGACACAGGGTCACTTGTCTCACCGCATTTACCACTTGATCTGTATCTAGTCTAGATGGACTCTGTCCAGCTATGGGATTGGAGTCTGACTTTCCCACCTTGAAGGGCTCAAGCATGAGACACCACAGGACCTTCTCTGAGGCCAGGCACGCACAACTTAGAGGTAGAGGGGAGTCCACCTCCATTTTGATCATGGGAAGTGAGTGTCAATAGATGAAGTCTGATGAATGATCCTGGGATGCAGTATTCTTCTGGACCCTGAGAAGATGATCTTGCACGATTGAGTTCTCAGCTGTGCTTGGTGTGACCAGCTCAGCAATGCACCCTTGTGTTTACTCTCTTTCCTCCTCTGACTCATTCTCTTTCTTCTCCACTTTGGTTTCCTTGGGGGCTATTGTCCGTATCAAAACCATAGCACATAAGCTCTGCTTTTTGGGGAAACTCTGGCTAAGATAGCTCTCTTCCTTCTTTTAGTATAACATGCAGGCAATAGCATTTTACTGACAAAGACTTCATTTATGATTTCATCAGTATATGGTATAAATGCATTCTATCTTTCAGAGCATAACATGGAACATTTTTTTTTTCAGGTAGCCCATGATTCCTAGAGATATAACTTGAAGGGTATCCGTAACATTCTGCATTTCAGTAGCTCTAGTTTTATTTTTTTGTTTGAACAATAGTCAATGTCAGAACTTGTGTACATGAACCTAATGTACACAAGTTCCCTGAGTAGCTAAATATGAAACCAAGATGAGCTGTCATCTCGAGGTGGGATGCCAACTAAATTTGTCCTCTCATTTCTCTTCATTCTAGATTATTAGAATTGTCCAGGTCTGCAAAATTCTAGCTCCATAACCTAAATCAAGCCATTAAATATCACTGTAGTTTTGGGTTGGCTTTATTGTGGAAAGGGGTTAAGAACTATAACTAGCTGGAATCTATGTGTTGAAAACTCTCTAATAGAAAATGAATAAAATAATTTATTTAGGAAGGGAAATGAGTTCATTAGGTTGGAGTTGAGAAGTACCTAACATATAAGAGATAAATATAAAAGTTATACAGCCTTTTGAATAGGGAATTGGAGGACTCAGAAAAATAGTACTTGGAACTGATTTAGCCCAAGGAAATAATAAATGCTTGCTCCATCTTACCTGGACTTACCTCTTTCATGAGCCAGGCAGGATGTAATCAGATACTTTCTTTGGAAAGTATTTATTTGGTTCATGTCCTGGCAAATCATGCTGAGTGTCCTCTGTGTAAAGGAGACTCCATTACTATACTGAAAATGGATGTACTTTCAGACTTAACTTTTGGTGTGGACATTGGCAGCTTTTGTTTGCTTGCTGTTCCTCCCCACTTCTTACAGTAGCAAAACTTAGAATTTTCTTTGAGGAATTATACCTGTCCCAACTCAGATTGGGGCAGGGGGCGGGGCTGATTATCCTCCCCCCAGTCCCCCCCCCCCCCGGGCTCTGTTCCAGGATTTCAGAGGACTGACTTCAGAGCTAATTAGCAAATCTGCCCTCCTTAGCATGGTGATTGGCTTGGGAACGGGCATATGACTCAATTTGGGCCAATGAGGAGTAGGCACAATTTTTACTGGAATGGGGCAAAGAAACTCTCCACTTGTTTGAAACTGTAAGGCTAATCTTAGTGCTCCTGGGGGCCACCCATGAGGTAAAAGGCTATGTGAATATGAAGTCCACATGAGGAATATCCCTGCAGAGGAAAAGAGGTACCTCCTAACAAAACTGAGTGAACACCCCTATCCAACCATGCCTGAAGCTGCGTATCCCTGGACATGCCAGATATTACAGTCAATAAATTCCCTTCAGTCTTAAGCTAGTTTGACTTACCTCTTTGCCAGTCATTACAGAAAGAATCCTAATATGTGTTCAAGGCAATGGGGATTAAGATATATGTTGATAGCTGATATTATATAATTCTATTAATAATATTTTGAAACATTTTGGGATAAGATGATGAATATATTCTTTGAGCTGCAAAAATTTAAGTCTTCCCTCCTCATTCCATCTCTGTGGCCCTTCCCCATGAGACTTTTATTTCTCTCTTTCCTCTCCCTTCATACCTCATCCCAAGTAGATGTTTATGAAACAAATGTCCTTACTTCCCTGTTTCCCTTCCTATGGCAGCTGCTGAGATGTGAAGAGCAGGCAATACTGTGCCTATTTAGAGAATAATAGTTAAAGAAAGAGACAGGAAAGTATATCCGTTATAAGCATTTTCTTTTTTCTTTTTTAGAATTGAAGCTTATGACTTTATCTACGCCCACTATATTCATAATTACAATTTAATGTCTGCATACAAAAGCTATGTAAAAATCCATTTTTCCCAAATATACAAATTTTCTTTTTGGACAGTTTAAAACATTTTGATCACAGATTTCAACAGTTTTAGGCTGAAAAAAATATTACTTATCTAGCAATATCACTTAACACTGTTTGCAAAACACAGACCTTCTGATGACTGTAAATCTCCTATTCTGTAGTATTTTTATAATTCTTAGGGCATGAAAACATTAGGGGGGAAATGCGTTTTCTCTGAAGAAAGCATAGATTTCTAATTTGGCTCTATAATTGAATGAGAGTGTGAAGTTAATTAGGGAAACCAAAAGAAAAGTGGGGTAATGTCCGCTCATTCATGCCCTGGTATCTTCTGTATCAACAGTACATGCGTAATTAAGTAAAGTGTCTTCTATTGTCTTACATTGTGCTCCATAATTTACTTGAGTATTATCTGAATCCTGAGGAGGACAAATTTATATTTGATTGTCTTATGCATAAGGTGGGTCAGCTTTAACTGTGCAACAGAAAGCCACAAACAGTGTTTTACCTGCACGATATTGCTCTTGAAGGCGGCATTAATTAATTAATGTGGAGACACACTAGAAATGCACTCTTTTTGCATTTGCAAACATTTATACAGCACAGTAAAAATTCTGTGATAAGGCCAAACCTTTTTTCCCCGCTAGTCTGTTTTTTTTTTTTTGCATGTGTTTTTCATGTATTTTTTTTTTAAAGATTAAAGTAAAACATTTCAATTGTAAAAAATACACACCGGGCAAATCCTTACCTGGATAATAAATATCTACATCACAGTACAATAAAATTTCTTCTCTATAAAATTTAAATATGGATTATAGTCTATCACTATGAAAAGAAACACTATGCTACTATTTCCATATTATTAAAATAACAGGAAAAATTACGAGCTTATTTTAGAACCTGATGCCATAGCCTTTGGAAAGGGCAAAGAGATTCAAATGTCTGTAAGCACTCTCCTTTTGAAGAGGAACTGTGGCTTGGTTACTCACTTAAATTCAGTTCATGAAAAAGGTTTAGCCTTACAAATGCTGGCTACATTTCAAAAACCATAAGACTGATTTCATAATTTATGACTCATGCAGCAAAAGGTCAATATGACACGAATAGGTTAGAGTTTCACAGAATAAAAATGTATCACTGACAATGACATGCCTTGAGGGCACTCAGCAGTTCCATGGAGGCTGAGTTTTGGGGGGGTTTAGTGTTGAGGAGGGGCCAAGGCTTGCACACCTGTTCATGGAAGAGCCACGAGAATGGTGTTCCTGGAGCCCAGCCAAGCCTGGTGGTCCACCTCGATGAAGATGATAGCGCTGGAAACCAAAGAGGTGTCACTTGGGCACAGGTGAGGGAGACATCATTGGGCTGAGGCATCAATGCGGCAAAGTGCGTCATTGACGACAGAGGCTCGCTTGACTAGGAAAAGCTCTAAGGTGGCACATGGTGTATTGAGCAGATCATAAAGAAGAAAAGATCTCACTTTTCTCACTATTTCTGAAAATACTGCATGTCTAAATCGAAGAGCAAAGTACACTTGAGGGTAACACACACACACACACACACACACACACACACACACCCCTACCACTCATCCCCAAAAGTTAAGTGATTTATAAATAAGAATCCCAGTTGTACAGGTGTGTTCTCCTCTACTGGGATGTCTCCCCACTGTGAGGGGTTTCAGTCAAGTCCACACTTGATCTGACAGTCCGGACAATATTTTTAAAAAATGTTAAAAAAAAAAAAAATCCAGAGCAAATCCCTCCTAATTGGGTTTTATGAGATGGAGTCTTGAGATGTACTAGGTTCCTCAATCAGTTACAGAAGAAATGAGTCACTTTGACCACTGGCATCATAATCCTTTGAGTTCTTCTAACCTTTCCTTTCAACTTGAAGTACTTTAAGGCTTGTCCTCCTCAGCATCAACAAGATCTTGAGATCAGTCGTTTGTCTCTTTAGGGCAATCATTTAAGAAGCTGAGGATCAAACATACATTTACTTGGGGCTGGCTGGATTCCCTTTTGGCCAATGCTTGGTCATGGTTAGTCCACAAAACATTCCGATTTTGCTTTAGATCAGGCTTCATACTTATATTTGAATCTGAGTGTGGCTAAAGTATGAGGGAATCTCTGTCAAACAAATCAAGGAGGCTTTCTCGGGAAGGCTTGATGCCCAAGGAGTCTGTGAACCTCCCATACCCTGCCTGCTTGCCTCTGCTCATTCCCTTCTGAGGGAAAACTTGCCCCACACCACAAAGCTTCTCAGAGTTACCCAGGAGCCAGAAGGTGACTGAGGGGTTGTGTTTCAAAGGGAGTCAACAGAGGGAGCTGAGATGTTAACAAAGCAAAGGCTTAAGCTAGAGGCTGCCTAGAGAGAACAAAATCAAAAACTCTCTGTAGATAAGTCAAAGCAGGTGTCTGCCCAAGAACTGCATGTTTATACTTTTAATCTCTTCGTCTACTTTTTTTCTGTGGTTAGCAAGTTCCATAGCGGTGTTCTTGTTTCCTTTCCCCAGAAGCCGATATAATTGCTTTAGTGCGTTAAATGTATAATTTTCCTCTCAGATTATTTCCAGTCACACTTGGGATTTTTGATGCTGTTCCTCTTCCGTTTCCAAGGCTGTTCTGCCTTTCCCTACATAGCTGATGAGTAGTGTGTCAAATTCTTATTTTGAATCAATACCAAATACAATTTCCATATCTATTAAAAGGGCCATAGTTTTTGTCTAATAAAGGTAGAAATTTGAATATGAAAGAAACCATCAAAAGAGCCAGATCCCGTGGCACCCCTCCCCCCCCCCGCCGAAATTAGTAGAGTATTAAGGACAAGAAGGAGTTTAGAGTGTATGATTTATCCACCAAGACCCAAGGTGAGAAAACCAAGACCAAATCTACCAAGGTCACAAATCTACCAGTTGACAGAGCACAAACTAGAACTCTGGCACACAGACTTCTGGACCACCTTAAAAAAAAATTAGCCTACTTGGTTTTCACAGTGACTTTCATTCCTTCATTTTTAGGTAAATCTTGCTGATATGGCTTGTTTTCCCCAGTATTTCCAGGATAAGGCAGTACAAGGCAGGCTAAGGAATTGTGTATATCTACTATGCCAGTGAAGAAGAATGAGATACATTCAATTGCGTGGGTACATTCTTTGCCCATTTTCTGAAGCTGAAGTGATGAGGCATCACCATTTGTTTTCTGGGTACAAGCTGTTCCAACGTTTGTCATCAAGGAGGTGGGCTGGGTAGGGAAGATGAGTGAGGGGTCATGGTCATGGTCTGTGGGCGTTTTCTGTTGAATATCTCAGGGCAATGCTACAACAGGGACAGAGTGGGTCCGTGGCTGGACCGGCCTTTGTTTAGCAACAGTCAAGCCACAGAGTCAGAGGGAAAAGGAGACTAGGAAACATCTGTGAGTAGAGAAAAGAGCTTGAGGATCCAAGAGCAGAAGAAAGCCTCCTCCAACCATCAGTACATGAAGGGGGCTCTCAGATCACTGCATTTCCTTCCACTTAGAATGTAACCGCACTAATCTCTCCTCAGAATTCCTCCACAAGACTCAAATTTCAGCTCATTATCTCTCCTTGATTAGAAGATTTAATCCATAGGGAAATCTGTTGTCAGCTCAGCAAAAATGCAATCAGGATAAATACCTTCAGGAGTTTGGGAGATGATGGATCAGATGTCATTGAAAACTGACAACACTCTGTAAATAGGCTTAATTTTTATGGAAATTTTCTCTGAGCCATAACTGTAAAGAAGCCTTTCTCCTATGAGGTAATGCTATGTGAATTTTTGGAAATTGTTGAATCACTGACATTGATAAAGATTTCTAAATTCTTTGGACTCACAGAAGAAAACGGTTTTCCTTGTTGGTCTCATTCAGTCAAGTACCTGTATATCTTCGAGTCACGACTTGTATAACTTGAATTAAATCATAGGATTTTAAGATTTCCAGTGAAAGAACAACTGATGTTGGGGAACAAATATTTCTGTACATTCCAAGGAATGCTGCTAGGAGAGAAGGAAGAGTGCTGAAGACAGCATGCTCTAGGATAAACAGAAATTTGTTCAGACTTTCCTTGGAAAGCTGAAAGCCACATCTAACCAAAGGTGGTCTGTGTCTTGCTAATTTGAGTGCTGCAAAAATCAGAATTGAGTCGAGACGACCACATTATCTTGGTTTTAAGGCTTCTTTAGCCTTCTTCTGCTGTGCCATTTTGCTTGCTTGAGTCTCTGACCAGGGACAGATGGGAGCTGGTGACGGCTTGGTGCTGGTGAATGAATGATGGTCCTCACCCCACCTCCATAGCTGTAAAACCTTCAAAGCATTCACATCAAAGGACTGGAGAACAAAATGCAATAGTTAAAAGTACCCGCATTCAAGGGGCAATTTCATCCATGTCTATGCCAACATGTCTATCTCCCTTTTCCCCTAAGCGATCCCTCCCAACACAAAGAAACAAAGGAACAAACAAAAAAGATCTAGGCAATGGAATGAAATGACACCCAGTAGTGCTGTAGGAATTATGAGAACGAAGTCAGCCAGTCTAATCCTCAAACACTTCCAGGAACAACGGTGGGAAGAGTTCCGTGGGGCATTCCACCTTCATGTGCAGGAAGCGGCTGGCATGGCAGGCTCCGATCATCCGCAGGTCTGTCACTTTCATCAGGAGTTTTGGCCAAAAGTGTGTCACGTGGTGTTTTCGGTAATTGATATAGTGTTCAAAGGCCAGCAGGAAACTATCTTGGTATTTTTCTATTCTCTCAACGCAGGCAAGCCCTGGGCGATCTGAGGGGACCAAAGAAGATGGATGTTACTTCAGAGGGTGGGAAGGAGCGGGCCTGCCTTGTGGTTCAAGCCCTTTGACGTGAAAGTGGGCAGATCTGGGGACTTTCCAACTCCTAGGAGTGAGCACAGGAGCCACATGAACTCTGGGGCACGGGACACCAAGATACCAGGGTGCGGCATCATTTACATGAAGGGGCCCAGTGCTTTGTTTGGAATAGTATCTCTGGCTAAGACAGTCACCTCCATGGGTGTGAATGGCAGTAGCTTCCTTGTAGGGTCCGGAAGGAGAAGTCTCACCCAGAGAGCTGATATACTGAGCATAAAGAGGGAACGATTTTGAGTTTGCACCAGCTCCCCCGCTGAAAGAGGAGGACCAGTGTGGATATGCACAGACAGGGGACACGTGAAAAGACATTAGGGTCATCATTGCAGGAGGCCCTGATGCCCAAGGAGACATGTTGGACAATAAGAATATCCCGTGAAGAAAAAAAAGCACAATGTGCAATTTCAGTAGTTTTCCAGGCCTGTAATGAACCACTCCTTTCCTTCTCTTAAACTTAGGAAAATATTTACCTGTAGCAGCATGTGTTGGTGGCGCTTTGGGGAGCTAAAGTGGAGAAAAAGGGGTGAGGTGTGAACTCTGCTAGAGTTGCCCCATGCAGAGAAGAGTCACAGAGGGAAGATGGAGTGAGAGGAGACCATGACCATTTGAGGAACCGGGAAATTGTCCCAACTCTTGGGGGGACCACTGGTCTTCCCCCTGCTGTGACAGGGGCTCAAAGCAGTTTGCAGAAAATGATAAAGAGATGTCACAAGAGGGCTGGATGACTGTGGAATATCCAGGCTGCAAGCACTTGAGTTATAAAAGTAATTTATAAGATGAATTCCTCATAGAGCTCCAGGAAGCCTACCACTCCTTGCCCAGGTCCCCTCAGTTTGCTCTTTGCCGCTCTGATCATAAAAATTCACATTCCAAGTGTCCAGTGATTGAATAATATGTGTAGTAAAAATCTATATAAGGTTCTGCTTAATCTGAAAGGAAAGATCAGGGCTAATGGCTCAATCCACCCTTCTGAGTCTAAAATACTCACATATGGGCTTTTGGAATCCCCTATTCAGATCAAATTGCAAATTGTGCATTTTTATCTCTCTCTCTCTATCTATCATCTATCTTCCCTTCATATTTGATATTGCTGCTCTGTGGATTTACTCATTCCCTTTCTCTCCTACTCTCTTGTCTTCTCTCTTCCTTTGAATGTGCCAGAAGAATTTCCCACAGGATCCTTTAGTTTTTGATTCAAATAGAAAATCAAAATCAACACAATATTGTTGTGATGTATTCCTTTAAAGGGAAACAAGACCCTGGGTTTTGTGATATCAGGCTCTGTCCCCTGATGAGTGGTAAAGATAAGAAAGTCATATAAATGACGCAGAGAAAGTAAAAGGACATTTTATCATGCTCAAGTTGTACTGAAAATGTTTATGAAAAGAGAAACATTTTTAAAGGTCAAAGACTTTTTAACAATCTAAAGCAAAAATTTCTCAAAGATATGTCTTCCAGATCATTTCCATTTTAGCTCTCTGCTTATCACTGTAGGAGCAAGGAACCTAGCAGTAATAGCTCTTAGAAAAGGCTTTGAAGAAAAGGTTTATGATTTCGTGTAACAAAAATGCCAACCAAAACAAAATGCCAAACAAGCAATGGGGCTTAGAGGACAATTCAGAGGAGGAACTGGAGTGTCAGAGCTCTGATACGTAGCTGTCATTTGCCAAATGTAAAGTGTTTTGTAATATTCTTGTGATCCTGGAAGCATTAATGAAAAGAAGTGCCCAGGTCATTTCAGGGGGATGGTTTTACAGTTACTACGTGGGACACATGGCTGTCTGGCAGGCAGAATTGGGAAGGATACTCCGGTAGGTGCTTGACAGAGGTGGGAGCTACGTTCGCAGTTTCTGCCTTTTCCACACCCTCCCCTTGTCTACCTCGCTTAGATTATTTACTTAAGCTGTTAAACTGACTCACTACAGAGGAAACTTCATACTATTCAGTAAATAAAAATGCATTTGCCATAAAGAGAAGATAACCACAAAAATGGATGCATGGCACAAACTTTTATTACATTTTAGCTCAAAGTTCCTGTGGAAACTGCCCCTGAGATCTGCTCTCTCTTTCTCAAAAAGGGAGGTTAGCAAGTGTTAGGTGTTCAGGACTGACTAGCATCAAACTGTATCTCTTTGTGCCTTATTTAGGAGATATAACCAGAAAAAAATTTATAAAAGAAATAGCTTTCTTACTATGATTCTGCATTATTTAAAACGGGTTTTGAACCGCTAAAATCTCAGCTAAAAAATTGCCTTGAATCTCCCCTCCAGGAATAGAATTCCACTTACATAGTTCAATTTCTTTATTTTAAAGGACACTGAAGCCCAGAGAAGCTGGGGGTTCACTCAAGGTCACATAGGGAGGCGTTGGAAAAGCTGTGAGTTTTATTTCTACTGAAGGACTCAGGGCCCCAGTTTCATGCTGGCTGGTGGCTGGAGACCGCCCTCCACTCTGAGAGGCCACCTGCAGTTCCCTGTCATGTGCACTTTCCCAACATGGCCAAGGACTTCATCAAGCCGCAAAGATAGTCCTTAGAGCAAGTCTGCTGGCAAGGGGGAATCTTACATAACCTAATGTAATGTGACCACTCAGGAATGGCACCCAATTTGCCATATTCTATTGTTTAGAAGCAAGTCTTTGGTTCTGCACACACTCAATAGGAGGGGATCGTATGAGGGTGCGAACATCAGAGGATGGAGAACATGGAGGGTTGACCCAGAGCTTGCCCACCACAGTGTACAAGAGGCCTGATTATGCTATTCTAGTTACTTATGTTTATTTTTAAAATTTTCCATGATAAAAACTATTATTTCTTTTTTAAAAAAGCCTTCCATACGTAAATTTTCTGTAGCAAATAAGTTTCCAGATCAGCTTAAACGAAAGGAATTCTACTGAGTTAACCAGGGAGCATCAACTCTATAAAGGATTTTCATTGTGCTTGTGACTGATATTTTACCCACCTACTCAGCCATTTACCCAATAAGCATTTCTTGAATCCCACTAACACTGGTTGAGGTGCTAGGTGCACAACTAGACACATCTCTGTCATCAAAAAACAGTTCAGAAGGAGAGATGGACAAGTCAAGCAGACAGCTACAGTGTGGAATGACAATTGCTGAGACATAGCTAAACTTAGGGTACTCTCAAAATGCAGATGATGACTTGGAAACCACCTCCTATTTAAAGACTAGCTATTCTCGAAGAGTCTGATATATTTTGCATTTCTTATTTATTAGGACATCATCCCTGAAGAAAAAGGTGTCAGCATTATTGTTCCCTCTTCACCCATGGGAGTTAGAGGTCTTGATAATGAGTGACGACAGCTTAAAGATGGCTTTGCCATTGCTCCCAGGTGGACTCTTGAATCTGGGCTGGTGCTGAGACTAATTTGGACAAATATTGTAGAATGAAGCAGAAGTGATGCTCTATGACTTAAGACCCGGCCTTAAGACATCTGCACATTCTGCTTTTGTGTTTTGGGAACTCTCCTTCTTGAAGTCCACCAGCAACGTAAGAAGTCCAATCCCTGCTGTGGGAGAAGCTGCATCAAGAGAGTGGCCTGAAGCTGTGTTTGATGTTTTGGCCCTGACCCCAACCATCTGGGATGTTTTAAGCCACTCAGTTTTGGGATGGAACCCTATATAGCAATAAATAACTGAAACTTAGGTTGTAGCTAAGCCATGGACAAATTCTAGCTTTCACTCATAGTTTCCTCATCTGGAACTTGATGTGGAATGGTGTGGTCACTCATTCCTATTCTGTGTCAGAAAACCAGAATGGAGCAGCTACCATGAGGCAGGCAGGGTGGTGTGTGCTGAAGGTGGGCCATTCCATAGTCTTGTACATGGCTCCTTTGGCTCTCTCCCACTACACTGGGTGGCTGGAAAAAGCAGCCATCTGACACCCTTCTTCAGTTCCCAGTCTGTGGGCAAACTCCCGGTTGCTCCCTGGAGAGGGAGCTATGATTCTGAAGCTAAAGAAGGATTAAAAACTTATCAGGTTATTGGACTTAGCACCAGACACGCAAAACCTCCTTTGATACCCAGTAAGGAGCCTGGGAACACTCACCTGAAGACATCAGCAGGACAGCCTGAAGAAGAGCTACTTCAGTGTCATCCAGGTTGAAAGAAGACAGCGACATGCCCAGGTCAAAGATGGCATCCGACACTACCCCGAGACCCCCATTTTTCAGCTGGCCCCGCGTCACTGCCATCTCCCCATTCAGGGTTAAAGTCTCACTTTCTGGGTCATAGCGCACAGCAGCGCGAAGGGACATGATCTCCATGCAGCAGCCTTTGAGGAGGATGATCTGGTCTTCACATGGCAGCTGAAAAGAACCAGCCCGCATCAGCAAAGAACGAGTGGACAAGGCCAGTCAGAACAATGGGTGGTATCGTATGGCTCTCTGGAATGGATGTTAGTCCTGAACTCTTTGGGCCTGTACTCTTGGTGGCTTTTCCCTTCCCACTTGGCTCCAGTCTGTCGACAACGATTGCTTCTACTCCCAAGTTCTAGTTTGCATTTCTTTTGTGACAGTTCTCCAAACTGACTTACAGTCACTCACGTGTGAAACTGCTCATGGCCTCTTACTCTGGAATTTGTATCATAACCCAACTAACTGCTTGAGAGCTGGGTTTATGTTAAATTTGCCAACACTTGTATCTTATGCATAGCTCCAATAATCAAGAGATGACTCTATTGTTTATCTTGCAACAACGCTTCTCTTTGTTTTTTTGTTTGTTTTTGTTTTTTTGAAGCAAGTTTGCTCCTTGAGTCTCTTAAAAGGCACAGGACTAGAAAGTCCCTTGTAGATGCTTATTACCCATGAGGCCCAGAGATGTAAAAGTTTTCCCTAAAGTCACCCAGTGAGTTATGGGCAGAGGTGAGGCCAGAACTCAGACTTCTGGCTCCCAGGGCTGTAATCTCAGTACTTATGGCACCAGAATTACTCCACACACTGTATCGCTCTGTCAATGTGGTGATTTCTTTGTAAGCTAATTAGGTTGCTTTTTAACTAGGATTTTTGATAGTGTGATAACATGAATACAAACTTTTAGAGAGAACTTTGCTAAGAAAAATAAATTTTAAAGAATCAGAGCTGTATTTTCTGAATGGGGAGAACAGTTAATTAAATGCCGTTATTAAAATAGGTTAAAAGGCTATTAGTTACAGCGTTTGTTTAATGAATTGGGCACCATGCCAAGATTTATGTGCATCACCTTATTTTATGTTCACAGCACTCCGTGGGGTACATATTCAACTTCCAATTTTAGTTACAGACACATAAATTCAGGCACTGAGAGGCTGAGCAACATGCTAGGGGGTGGTCACAAATGTCTTGTGAGTAGGGCTGGAATTGGAAGCTATATCTGTTGGAGTCCAATGCCAAGAGAAGAGAACACAGTCTTTGAAGTACTCTGAGTGGGACTAAATGTCCATAAACAGTGAAAATGTAAATTACACATAATTTCCATCTCTTCATTAAGCACATACAAATCCTGGGAAATATTCATGGCAACACCCAAAGTTCAATTTAGGTTATATAAAACTAAAAGTAATATTCCTAAATTACATTTAAAGTATGGGGTATTCTGTATTTTTTACTAACCCAGCCTAGTCACTTTCCTATTTAATTTCAAATTGCTCAGCTGTTTCTGCAAAATAAAAGTCCTTTTGTATTTGGTTCTGGAATCTATATATGTAAATTCCTTCCACTCAGTAAAAGAGAAAAAATGACTGTGATTTACTTTTATTTAGGCTCTAATCCGTATTTCTCCATTCCTTGCTGGGATTCCTGGCCCAAGGGCATGGTAGGAAACAGGAGACCTGAGCGTGGATGAGCCCGTGCAAGTGAGATAGAGACTTGGTTGCTGCAGGCGGCGGCCGGCTCCCAGGCCTAGGGCAGCGGTTCTGACTTCACCCCACCAGGACCACCCAAGGGCTTGTTAACCACACTACTGCTGGCCCCGCCCTCTGAGTGCTTGCATTTCTCCAAGTTCCCAGGAGATATTCACGCTGCCCCTCTTGAAAACCACTTTGGCACAATGTACCATAGAGAAATTACTAACCAGATCAAACCATTTATTATTATTTTTTATATGTTGCAAAGTATGCAAACTTGGGCAGGCCCCATTATCTGTAACCAAGTCTGATTACAGATGAAGTAGAAATATTCTTTTTTAACCTTACTTACTATTGATTAGTTCAAATTTAAATGGAAGTTTCACAAGTATTTGTCAGGGATCACCAAAGGTTTAAAAACTAGGCCACGTGCCTTTTCTTCAAAGATCCTAGCGACATTAGTTTCAACATGCCGGTCAGCAATCTCTTAGTCCCTTGCCAAGCACTTTCCCTGGGAGAAGCAGATATGCAGGAATCCTCCCGCAGACTCTGCCTGTGCCCCTCAGAGAGCATCACTCGGGTTGACTGGCAAAGACGACAGTGCCCTGCTCTCTAGACGAGGTTCTTATGTGTGTTCTTGGCAGCTCTGCCAGCAATGATTTCAGATCATTCAAAGCCCAGGGTGTCCACCAACCCTGCTTGGTGGGATGGCATGGATCACAGCAGAAAATTAGCGTCAGCACAATTTCAACAGCAGATGCATCAAACGGCCTCTGGCGAGAAACCTGTCTCTTGAGATCACCTGGGATCTCTACCCCACTCCATAGGCAGGTTCCTCAGGGACCTGCACAGTTCATTTCCCAATTTGGGCTTCCAAAGGTAGCGTGAAAGTCAAAGGTCCTCAGGGGGCCACACACACCGGAAACATACTCATCTCTGCTGTACAAGTGGCCCCCCCCCTTTTATTTGTAACTTGAAGACTACAAAATACCAGGGTTGAAAGAGAGATGGAATCGTAACTCTGAAGCCGGCTTTAATTTCTCAGGGAGACTCAAGAAGTTCCACGTGGGCCCCTCACCTGCCACACACATAAGTGCACGGTGTGCTTGTTATTGGTGGCGGACACGTCTTCCTTGCTTTCTCTAACTGAAATAGCTCTTCAGAGGTTGGTGTATATGAGCTATATATTTTCTAAAAAACATTTTTGGTGGCTGTCTGAAGGGGAACACATGACCGTCAGGCTAGCTCAAGCTGCAGGGGTAGCAAACTCAACAGCGTGTCTGCTCAGACACCAAGGGCTAGGGGATGAGGGACACAGCCCAGAGAGAGAAAACCAAGAAAGGTCCAGGAAAATTTACTCAATCCAATGAACAAAAAAGAACAATGTCACACCAATGAGAGGAAACAAGCACCTTTGGCACAGATGTCAGAATGTACTTTCTTTCTTGAGGGCAATTGGCAGCATGTATCAAAAGCCTTAAGGAAATAGTACTGTGAGCAGCACATGGGCACCAGAATGTTTATTCTGGAATATTATTATGAGTGAAAAATTGGAAATGAATTCAAGGTCCAGTAAAAGCAGATAACTTAAATATAGTAGAGCTAGTCTTTTGGATACTATGGTCATTAAAAATTATTTTGTGAAAGAACACTTAAATGATATGTTCTCTAGTTGAGTGTGAAAGGTACAACAGAGGGCTAGTAATATTTTGTTTCTTTATCTTGGTGCTGATTATGTGGGCATGTTAAGTGTGTAAAAATTCATTGAACTGCACACTTATCATATGTGCTCCTTACTCTTCAGTAGAAAGTTTAAAAAAAAGTAGTTTGATGAGTAGAAAGTACATTATGGTATAAATTATATTGATATATTGGGTTGGTCAAAAAGTTCATGTGTTTTTTTCCTCTAAAATAAGAGAAAGTTTTCTTTTTTAAAATATATTTTATTGATTATGCTATTACAGTTGTCCTAAATTTTCCCCCTTTGCCCCCTCCACCCAGTATCCCCCATCCCTCCAGCATTCCCTTGCCCCCTCTTAGTTCATGTCCAGGGTCATGCATATAAGTTCTTTGGCTTCATATTTCCTATACTATTCTTAACATCCCCCTGCCTATTTTGTACCTACCAATTATGCTTCTTAATCTCTGCACCTTTCCCCCCATTTTCCCCTTTCCTCCTCCCAGCCGATAACCCTCTAAGTGATCTCCATGTCTATGGTTCTGTTTCTGTTCTGGTTGTTTGCTTGGTTTGCTTTTTTTTAGATTCATTTGTTGATGGTTGTGAATTTGCTGCCATTTTAATGTTCATAGTTTTAATCTTTTTCTTTATCTTAAATAAGTCCCTTTAACATTTCATATAATAATGGCTTGGTAATGATGAACTCCTTTAACTTTTACTTGTCTGTGAAGTGCTTTACCTACCCTTTAATTCTAAATGAAAGCTTTGCTGGATAGAGCAATCTAGGTGATAGGTCCTTGCTTTTCATCACTTTGAATACTTCTTGCCAGTCCTTTCTAGCTTGCAAAGTTTCTTTTGAGAAATGACCTGATAGTCTTATGGGAACTCCTTTGTAAGTAACTCTCTGCTTTTCTCCTGCTGCCTTTAAGATTTTCTTTTTATCTTTAACCTTTGGCATTTTAATTATGATGTGTCTAGATGTGGTCCTCTTTGGGTCCAACTTGTTTGGGACTCTTTGTGTTTCCTGGACTGGTATGTCTATTTTCCTTCACAAGATTAGGGCAGTTTTCTTTCATTATTTTTTCAAATAAATTTTCAATTTCTTGCTCTTCCTCTTCTCCTTCTGGCATCCCTATGATTCAAATGTTGGTACATTTGGAGAAGTCCAGAGTCTCCTTATACTATCCTCATTTTTTAAAATTCTTTTTTCTTCTTGCTGTTCTGATTGAAAGCTTTTTTCTTACTTATGTTCCAAATCATTGATTTGATTCTTAGATTCATCCCCTTCACTGTTGGTTCCTGTAGGTTTTCCTTTATTTCGCTTAATGGAACCTTCATTTCTTCCTGGGTCTTTTTTATGCTGTTGCCATATGCAGTGAGTTCTTTGAGCATCCTGATTACCAATGTTTTGAACTCTGCATCTGACAGGTTGGTTATATCCATTTTGCTTAATTCTTTTTCTGGAGTTTTGTTCTGTTCTCTCAGTCGGCCTATTTCTTTGTCTCCTCAATTTGGCAGCTTCACTGTGTTTGTTTCTGTGTATTAGGTAGAGCTTCTTTGACTCCCTGTCTTAGTAGCATTGCCTATTGTTGAAGAGCAGACTTACAAATTTTGTGGGGCAGAACCTTAGGTACTCGCCAGGGTGGGACGACTCATTGGCTTTGTATGGGGAAAGAGGGTCTCATAGAGGGGACAATGTTGCTGCCTGGCTTCTGGAGGTTTGCCTGGGAAGAAGCTGTCTCCCAGCACTCGCCTTGTCTCCAGTCTCCTTACTCTCTCTCCATATGTCACTTGTGTCCTTCCAACTGTTGCGTTGGTGCTGAATCCCAGAGGGGGTGGCCTGAATAAGCCCTAAGTCCATGTGGGCCCTTTAAGACAAGTCTCCTGATAATCCAGCAGTTTCTTTCACCATCCCAACCCACACTGGTTTTTACAGCCAGAAGTTATGGGGATTTATCTTCCTGGTGCTGGAACCCTGGGCTACTGGGTGGTCTCATTTGGGGCTCATATCCCTCACTCCCAAGGTATCGCTCCCGATTTTATTCCATGACGTGAATGTGGGACCACCGGTTCTGCCTCTCTGTGCCTCTCCACATCTCTCCTTGTCTCTGCTCCTCCTACCCGCCTGGATGAATGTGGTTTCTTTAAATCCTAGGTTGTCAGACTTCCATATGACTCAATTTTCTGATTGTTCTGGGTGTTATCTGTTTTGTAGTCTAGATGCAATTTTTTTCTATAGTTGTGTGAGGAGACAAAGAGTGTTTACCTATGCCTCCATCTTGACCTGAAGTCAAGAGACACATTTTTCATTTTCATCAATAACTTTATTGATTTGGATATTTTGAGCATGTTGGCTGTCTCCTGCATGGTATAACATTGATTGTTCTCAATGAATGTCTCAATTTGATCACTATCAACTTGAACTGGTCTACGCAAACATGGAGCATTTGTCCAGTGACAAATCTCCAGCACAAAACTTTGATCAGTCACAGCACCTTCTCCATACACTTCATAAATCTTTCTTTTTTTTGTGTTTCAGTTGCATTTTTACTTTTCTTGAAATAATAAAGCATAACATGCCAAAAATATTGCTTAATTTCTTTCATCTTCAATATTAAAATGGCTACACAAAAATTCACCAATTTTGATGTTTTTTTAAAATGCATGCTGTTATGACAGCTGTCACAATACAATCTAGCAAAATTGTTTGGAATAAATTTAAAGACAACTTAGTATTACTAGAGACATCTTACAGAAAAAATCAAACAAAATTTTTGGCCAACCCAATATTTCATACTTTGTATGTGCGTGTGTGTGTGTGTGTGTGTGTGTGTGTGTGTATACACACATATTTATTTCAAAAAAACTAAAATAGTTTCCAAAACATCATCAGGTTATCTCTTGGTGGTATTACCATGAACCTTTATCTTTATTATGCTATATAAATATCGAATGACTATATATTATTTTTGTAATATCCTCTAAAATTTTAATAATGTTAATTAAAAAAAAGATGGTCAGAGTCATGGAACGCTCCACACCAAATCCAGATATAAGTCAGAATGCTTCTCCAGGACTCACTGTTCCCTCCTACAGTGGAGCTGGGGGTCAGAGGGAGGCACATCTCTCTCTGCTGGGTCTGGGGGTCAGATACCTGTGTCCTGAAGCCCACTGCTCTGTCCTTCTGGGTATGGCTTCTGTGCAGGCTCAGAAATAGGCAATGAGAAGTGTACCCATTAGTGTCTGAGGTTTGTCAGACTCCGGCTGGGCTCCCATCATTACAAACTCAAGAACACAAATAGGCTGGAAGCTGGGGGGTGGGGTGGGGACAGAATCATTGCATGTGGGGAAACTCAACTTCTGTATAGGTGAGACTAGATTCACATATCACGCGGGAGGCTCACAGCAGCACGTGGCCCTCTCTACCTGGTATCTTTCTGGGTCCCTGTGGCAAAGTGAAGAGTAATAGAGAGGCATCTGATGGGGTTTTTCAAAGGGAAAAACCCTCCAGAAAACATAACCAACAATACTTGATTCAAAAAAGAGGGTAGAGGCAGGATGGTAATGTAATGAATGAAATAATAATAGTATTAATGGCTAAAATTAATGGAATACTTACGATCCAGGCACTATCCAAGCATATACTATCCCATTTCAACTCCTCAGCAGCTCTAAGAGGTAGATTCTATTATGATTTCCATTAAATATCAGATAACCAAGGTTTGAACACATTTAACAACTTATCCAGGATTCTTGCCCATGCAGCTGACTGCGCGGCAGAACTGCTAACGTTACGGATGAGTGTCCCACTGGGCAAGTCTATGACCTCTGGTGGGTGAGCTCCTCAAGGTGCCCTGAGGATGCTCAAGGGCCAAGAAATGGTGAGCTTATCAGGAAAGAGGGTATATGTAAGGGGATAATAAGGTCTTGGCTCTGTGAGGGTCATTCTCTATTTTTGAGGATTAAGAAGCAACCGCATAACCATCTTGCTGGGATATACAGTTGAAAGAATATAGACTAAGGCTCAAACCATGGCCCCATATGTGGGTAAGTTAATCACTTTGACCTCAGTGTTCCACATCTGTAAAATGGGGATAATTGAAGCTACCTTGCCAATATGTTATAAGGACTGGATTAATTGTGGGCAAATTTGAGCATGGTAAGTAGGACATTGTAGGTGCTAAATAAATGCAAGTATTGCTATCATCTTCCCTATGCCTGGAGTCAGATGGATGGATAGGATCTTCACTGGCCTCATGTGGACAAGCTAATGAATGGTGACTGAGTAGAGAGGGTGGAGAAATAAAAACAAAACAGTGCATTTTCTCTTTGTACTGGCACTATTTTGACAGGACTAAGTCCTTACTAGTTAATATTATGTCATAAGTAATCTTCAGCATTCCTAGAAATTAATGGAGCTAGAATGAAAAACACTGTAGAAGAAAAAAAATCATTTCCTCACCTCACAAAACATAGGCAACTTTTTGGCAAAATCCACCACTCTGGTAATTGCTGGTGTGATGATTTTTGTAAAATGGCTGAAGGCTTCCAAGTCAACCTTTCCACCTTCTGGGGCATTTACTATTGGTGCTTGTCCAATATCTTCTGGCTGAGGAGGAGAGACAAGAAAGATTTGAATGATGAAGTTGCAGAAATCTGTATTCTAGTTCTCGCATGGAAGAAAAATCTGTTCTGAACTGCCAACCTGTACAGTTACCAGTTTATACAGTTTATTAACGAACTGCGTATTTTTCCATTTGTGTCCCTGAGCAAAGGGATATGCCTTGGCCATTGCTGTAATAGCCCCCAGTGATGCTATCCACAGGGATACTGTTGCAGAGAGAGAGGGAGAGATGGGGAGGGGGAAGCAGAAAAAAGGGGAATTTGGGTTCTACTTCTGAATGCACACAAAGGGTGTATACTTACACCAGGGGACATACATCCTAGGGCATTTTCAGAGCACCGTGCATTGTGATGTGCGTCTTTGTGTGCGAGGCGGGCTCAGGGTGGGTTGTGAGGGACGGGGCGGTGGGGAAGCCCTGGCAGACAGCACCATGTGGATTCATTCTTCCTCAGGGGTTCCCAATAAACTCCTGTTGGAGGAGGCTGGAGGGGGAGATCTTCAGACTGCCTATAGGCACTGAGCTGGGCGGCACTTGGCTACCTTGAGGCAGAGTGGGGATTTTGCTAGTAGTCAACGTCTCACCCTTTTCTGCTGTTCACTTACCTATGAGCAATCCTTGGCTTTGCTGCTCAAAGTGTGGTACAGTAGCATGGGTGTCACCTGGGGGTTTCTTAGAAATGCAGAATCTGAGCTTCCTCCCCAGACTTAATTGTGCAGAATCAGCATTCTAGCAAGCCCCCAGGCAGCTGCGCTGACATTGGCTCCCAGCGTCCACTCAGCCGTCTAGCTGCCCAGCCTGGCGTTCAGCGACTGCCACGGTGTGGCCTCCCACCTATCTCCTGTTGTTACCAGTGCTTCCTGCCAGGAACGGTCCTCTCCATTGCCCTTTCCTGTCGCTGTGATAATAACAACTACCATTTATCTGTGGCCTACCAGTGAGCCAGCTCCTTACTCTCACCTCTGATTGGCTGATGAGCGAACCATGCACAGGAAGGTCAAGAACAATCCCCTGAGGTCAGGACTTTGCACAGTAATCTTCCAGAAGTCTCATATTTCCCCCTATTTCAAGGCTTTGACACCCTGTACACTCTAACACCAGGGGACAGAATGTTTGTTCCTCTTCATACTTCCTTGGTCAGCCCCTCCCACTGTCTTCCAGGAAACTGTGAATGCGATCAAAGTGATCAGAGACAAAGGCCCCACCAGATGGTAGCCACCTTTGCCTAGAGCCGCGGAGAACAGACTGGAGCAGGCCTCCGGGGGTGGGAGGTGTCGGGGTGGGCTGAGGCGGGCAGGAGAAAGTGGTGCTGTGAGCGAGGGCAGCAAGGCTGAACCCCTCGCGGGCAGAGAGGCGAGGGCCCTGGCCGTGGCAGGGCTGCCGCTGCAGCGCCAAGCTTCACCGTGCAGCCGCATCGCCCGATTGCTGGGCGCCCACCCCAGCCTTCCTGACTCGGCAGGCCAGGGCGGAGCCTGGACATCGGCATTTCTGCCAGGTTCCCGGGGCATGCCGATGCTACTGGTCGGGGGACGCACACGGAGACCCGCTGGGACAGCAGGAACCACGTCTGGCTCAGGGGAATCCAGTTACCATATTTCTTCCCACATCTCCCCTGTTACTGTTCACATCTGATTTTTAGTAGGAAGAAAAGCAAAGAATGACTCTCTTTCTTGTTGCCAGGGCACCTGGGTCGACAGGAGTAGCCCATGCCCTCCAAGGGTGCGTCAGGAGGGTGGCGACGGCCTCGGGGAGGACTGTTCAATATGTTACCTAACAAACTCTGGTAGTGTTGACCTGTTTTGGGGGTCACCCAGCAGGTTCTTCTGTTCGTTTCATTTTACTTTTTAATTATTTGTTTTTAATTATTTAATTATTTGTACTCGCTACCCAGCAGCGAGTAGATAGGAAAGATATCTGGTTTTGTTGTGTTTTCATGACGATGTTTTGGGGTAACTGTTGGCATGGCAAGCCCCGGGAAGGCTTTGTTCTGCTGGCTGTCCGGATACAGGTGGAACTGATGGATTAATCACCTGGACAGCTTCTTTCTTTCTCTTTCTCACACAGATTGTGCTAAAGGAAAATACATTGCTGTTTCCCGAATCCTTCTGACCTCCTCACTGGTCTTTATAATTCCTCTTACCCTGAAAATGAGGCTCATTGCACCTGCCTTGTTTACTTTACACTCTGTTAAGAAGATCCACTGATAAACAGAATGTGAGCATACATTAAAAAAGGTAGGGAGTTTTATACACATACATGCACACAGACATACACACAGACACATGTGCACATAGACACACACACACACTTTTGGCCTGGTTGAACCCAAATATCTTCTCATTGAACACTGATAGATGTAATCGAATTGTATTTAAATGGTACTCAGTGGTTTTTGAAATGCGTGTGGGTTAATACTGATAGTTTCTATGTTTTGGGGGTATTTGAATTACTGCCTGTGACATCCTAAAGATGAGTAAAAAGAAGGGAAACTACACCAGGTCATATACAATTTCAATTGAACTTGAACTCCCAAATGTAACAATTTCACAAGATGTTCTGTTGAAAATAAATACCAGGGTAGAAAAAAAGATTTACTTTTAAGCCTCTGGGTATTCAATGGCAAATACAATTGCTAGCAGTAAAACCATATACAAAGTAGAATGCTTCTGTTATATCATTAAGGTTTATTTCCTTAATGGATCTTGGATACTGGAAAAAAAATATCACCTATGCTCGATCTGAGTTAACATACCAGGTACAAAAGGAGAGATGCGGTTTGTGTGCAGGCAAGGGCTCCGTCCTAGCTCAGCGTTAGAGGAGGCTGGTTTCACGCACATCAAGACTAGCTGGCTTTGAGCGTTGACTGCATCAGGACTGTTCAAGGTGAGTGGGAAATGGTGCCAGCTGGCCTGGTTGTAAGCGGCCGGCTCAGCGTTGCGGGCTTCTTCCCTTGAATCCGCAGCCCTCTGGCACATGCAGAGTGGGGTGGGGTCAGGCCTGACTCTCTCTTCCTCTGCTTGGCCATAGGGTGTCTTCTCTCACCTTTGTGAGGATGGGCAGGAAGACCCAGGCAAGGTAATTAATGGTCCCTGGGCCTTGGGACATTACTGCAGGGTCTCCTTTTGCCTGGGATGAGCAGGGACAGGACGGTGAGGGTGGTGACGGTAGAGATGATAAATAGACAGACTAACCATTTACATGGTTGCTAATGATATGCCAGGCACTTATACCTATACCTATAACTTTTGTATCATTTGGTAAGGGCATAAAGGCTGCTGAACCTTAGAGAGGTGAAGCAATGGGTCCGGAGTCACATAATTAAAAAGCCACAGAGGCAAGCATTGCACCCAGGTCGTCTAGTTCCGATCTCCATTCACACAGCTTCTAGACTACCCTGCCGCCTTCTGATGTACTTACAATAATTTTGGGCGACAGAAGCCTCCTTGTCTTGATTGCACTTGTCTCATGACCTATCCATGCAGACCATACACGGCCAGGCCACGCATCCTGTCTGACCCTCCTGCTAGGTCCCTTTCCAAGGCCGCCCAGTTGAGTGTGTGGGAAGTTAGACTGTAGCTCTGCTGGGGGAAAAGCAGGGTGGGCTGGCCTGGTTCTTATGGCCACGTTTCATACTTGGGAGAAAGATCCATCCAAAGCCACACCTTTGTATGCGAACTAAGGGATCAGAATAATAACACAATGTTAACAGACAATAATGTTGCTGGGATGGGGTTTGCCCCAAACCAAATGTCTCACCACCCCTGGGAGGTGAGGAGACAGTGCTTTCTCCTGTTTGGTATCAGAGGGTTCTTGTTCCTGTCTTGGGTCCACATTTACTGTTCCTCATCATTGTTATCACACACAGATCGTTGGTGATTAAACTGGGCACTTCTGTACCATCAGAGATTTGAGTGGATTAGAGAAAACTAGAAAATTGTACGATGTAAGTGCTTTTGGAAACAGTTTGACAGAGTGGCTTTAGAATTATGAAAATCTGCCTGGCTTTTGCAAAAGTGCCTCTTTGCCAATGACTCTTCATTCTCGGCACAAATGTGGATTTGAAACCCAGGCCACACCCCCAGTCTCTATTTCTGACATGAGTCCTGGTCTTAGTGGAAAAAATGATTTAAAAAAAGCTCCTTTTGGGAGTTTACTAAGTTACCTACCCATTACAGATAAATGAATATTTGTAGCTTTTATGACAACATGTGTTAATCCTTAATGATATATTACTCTTATTATTAACATAATGGGCCTCCTCGAATTCTATTTCAGACAAGATGGGCCATCATTACATGGAAATAAATAAAATAATATGCATAGCAGTATTGTAAGCAAAAATGGGCTATCAGCTACATAGGAGACATAAATCCTAATGTATAGAAGCCCATTCAGGACATGGATACCATTCAGCAAAGCTGTCTTTAATGAAGGCTTCCTAATGTCCTTGCAGGAATAACTCCCCCCAAAAGAGTGACAATTTCACCCTGAGCATAAATACTCAGTTGAGTCCATCCTTCTGCAGGGAGTATTTGTAAATATTTATTTGTAACCTGGCTGAGACACAGGCTTAAGTGTACTGCCTCTGAGGATGGGCTGGTAGAATTGCATGTTCTGTTTAATAAATATTCCTTGAGTTCTGTTCTGGTCATCTATTGCTGTGTAACAAACTACCCCAAAACTGAGCAGCTTAAAAACAACAAATTTTTACTCTCTCTTGCAGTTCTGGGGATTGGAGGCCTCAGCGGGGTGGTTTTCACTTGGGGTCACTTAATGCAGTTGTTGTCACATGGCACCAAAAGCTGGTGTCATCTGAAAGCTTCTTCACTCAAATTTCCAGTGCCAGGGTTGAGAATCTCCCCATGGGGTCTCTTCACATGGTTAGCTTGGGCTTCCTCACAGCATAGTGGTCTCAGGGTAGTTGGACTTTTTTTTTTTTTACATGGCAGTTAGTTTTCCTCAGGGGGACCAGGCGGCTTCCTCTCCAAGATAACCAGATGGAAACTACAAGGCTTCTTATGACACAGCCTGAGTAGTAGCTCTGCCCAAGTCCATTGTTTAAAGGTATCATGGACCAGAATCAGGGGGAGAGAGCAACAGACTCTCTCTCTCCATGGGAGAGAATGGGCTGTGTATACAGGGAGGAAAGACTCTAAAGGCAGCTAACATGGAGAAAAGCTACCACAAATTTTGACTACACATGGGATAGACCCTGGGGACAGTGCTGAATGAAACATGGTCTTTGTCCCAAGGAGGTGCAGGGCTGACCCCAAACACAGAAGGGGACAGGCTGATAGAAAGGAAGTTCGCTGTAGAGATAGGTGGGGCATGGGAGCATTCTGGTCCCTCCCAGCACCCACCCCTCTAAGAAAAACATGGCCTGGCGAAGTCATTATTTGTATTTGGATCAAGAGGGGCGACTTCTTGAACAGATCAAGCATCTCTGAAATATGCATTTCATGTCATCTCCCCAGGGGGCGCAGAGATTGGTGGGTCAAACAGCTGCTCTGTAAACATTACCCTCTTGAAGAAAACTCTCTTGTGCCTGGATAACCTCATGGCCCTGACAGAAAAATACTGCAAGTCATCCTGTGCCATATCTTCTGTGGTTCTTTCCACAGATGATCAGACTGATGAAAACTCTTAAGAGGCTCCAAGTGAAAGGCACAGACTTCGCTGGTTTTAATTACTAGAAGTTGTGTTGTCTTGTTGAAGAGACCGTGAGGCATGAAGAGGTCTGATTACATTTTTACCTCATAGAGTTGGTTTCTGAGCTTTCAGATCAGCTCAAATATTACCTCTCCAAAGAGGCCCTTTCTGATCAATCTGTTTAAGGAAGTGAAGTCTCTCCCACTTTCAGCTCACAATCACTCTGTCCCATCATGATGTTTATTTTCCTTATTGCACTTACCGCTACTTGCACTTATCTTGTTTCTTTAACCTTTACTGTCTGTCTCCTTCCATTGGAATATGGCTGAGCTTTCCCACCTCCTGGCATATAGTAGCAGCTCAATAAATGTTTTATTAATAAAAGAACAAATCTTTCAGTCTGGAAAGAAGCACTTTGGTGACCACTGAATTGGTTAGTTAGAGTAGTATCCATTCTCTTTTGGAAATAAAGAAAATAGAAGTGCAGGATTTCTTAGGAGAAGTCCAGGATGTGCTCCAAATCTTCCACTGAATTTGGGATTCAGCTTGGTCACTATTCTGAAATCAGATGGCAGTGGCAGGCCTGGGAGTGGCTTCCACAACATCCATTTATAGCTAACACATTTGGGGAAAGGATAGTTTTAGGCTTGGGATTAGGCAGGGTTCTATTTTGCTATGCCCCAACTATACTAGGTTAGAATTGGTCATCTATCCATAATTAGAGTTTTCTAACTGTCTGGCAGATATACCAGGGTATGGCTGAGGATGAAAGATTGGGGTGTTAAGAGGCTGCCCCTCCAAAGACATGATTTTTGAAGGCCCCAGGTTTGTGCAGGTGGCCAAGGTGAATAGTGTAGTGGTTTCGAGGATGGATTCTGGAGTGGGGCCGCGTCTGTCACAACTTACTTGCTGTGGGAGGTGTAGTAAGCTTCCTTAACTTCTCTTCCTCAGTTCCTTGCTCTGTAAAATGGGGATGTTAAGTATATCTATCTATAGGGTTGGGTTAGAGAGTTAATGTGTGGATGCACCTAGAACAGTACCCGGCCTTTGCAAAGGGCCATGGTGCATGTATGGTAACACTGTTGGTGGAAGACATCAACAAATTTTGACAGAACCTGCTCATTACAACAATGAAAGAAATTGTTTGGGGGCAGGTGGATTATGGGTAAGCCTTCCCCCCAAATTTCCTTTAAGGTTGTTATACTTTTTTAACCACACACACACACACACATACACACAAACACACACAATTCCATTTATAATGGCATTATAATGGTGATGTTCAGGTACAAGGACAATTATACCACTGTAACTTCTTGTCTGGGTAGGGAGGATACTGTAATGTACCCTGGAGGGACAAATAAACCCACAGAATGTCTGATGCTGGGGCCCAATGAGATACTCACAAAGGGTTCATGTCATAAACAAAGAGCAGGGTTTGTCCCTGCATGTCAAATGCCAGCTGGTGGGGGGATGGGCAGTCCATCTGGCAAGGCGGGTGGAGAGCCTGGACTTGGAACCACAAGACCTGAGTTGGCTTTTGGGCCTGGCTCAGCCATTTTCTAGTAACATGATATTGGGTGAGTTGCTGAAGGCCTTGGGCTTTGTTTACATATCTGTAAAATGGGAATAGTAATTCCAACCTCAAAGCATTGTGAAGTTCAAAGGAGAAATGAATGAGAAGGACTTTCACAATGGTTAGTTTGTATAAAAACACCAAACATTGATATTCCAAGGGTCTTGAAAGGCCTGTTTTCTCTACAAGCTCCCTCTCCACCCCCATCCTTACCCCCTCTTTCTATTGTCTTCCTGGCCTTGACACAATTTATTTTAAGTTAAACATTTTGACTCCTACTGACAGGAAAATGCCTTTGAGAAATGGGACACTTTGTTCTAGCGGTTATCTTAAAGGGAATATTTTGGAGCGAGTTTGGTGGACTAAGTAAGTGTGTAAATGGGCAACTGAGGGAGGAAATGAGTATAAAAAGGGAAGGATGGAAAGTCAAGTATTTTGCTTATTTACCCATGGCTGGCCTCACTAATAGCACAAGCAAACAGATAACATGGCCTTAGAAACTGCTCTAGAATTTAGTGACCCTGAAACAATAGATGATAGGAGTGACCTTTTTTCTCAGGCAGACCTGGGTTCAAATCCTGCCTCTGCCATTCCCTGACTTCTCAGAGCCCCAGTGTCCTTATCAATAACCTGGGCGGTAACCTCAGCACCCCAGGGCTGGGAGGACTGAGTGAGCTGAGGGCGAAAGCGCTGGCACGCAGCCGAGCATCAGCTGTGCCGGAAGCCTCACCAGGAATTTCCGTTTCTGCTTCCAGTGGCTGCCTTGGGCGTTGGTGGCCACGTGGGCTTCGGTGACGGTTTTGATGAGCTCCCACTCCTCATCGGTGGGCTCTGGCTTGTGCCCAATGGATTTCTGCAGCTCCTCCCGCCGTCTCTTCTCCCGGTTCTCCTCAATCAGCTTCCGCTTTGCCAGCCTCTTGCTGTCATCCAGTACCACTGGGAGAGGCAGAGGGAGACAAAAAACCCATGGATACTCCCAGGCACATGGCAGCCTGCACATCCCTGGACCGCTGATGTGCACATGGTTCGGTGGGGCCTACCGGGTTGGTCACATGGGGGCATTTTCTCCTTTGGCAGTAAACTGCCATTGACTGACTAATCATTGTCCAACATGAGCCCTAGCGCCAAACTCCCAGTGCCTAACCGGCTTTTCAAAACAAAGCCCTGGAGTAGCTGGATGCTGGGCATCCCAATTCCACAGAAGGTGGCCCTAAGTACAAACGAAGCAGAGAGAGGTCAAACCTGCCCATTAGTAAGTTCCCAGATGAGTCTGTCTAGCCAATCATCTGAATCCTCTCTTATAGTTTCTGTAATGCCCCTCCTTCCTCTAAGTGGCTCTTCCTAAGAACTTCCTTACTAAGAGAACTTAGGAGGTTGAAGGAAAGTTCAGTAGCAGTCAATGAGAGACTGATGATCCCACCCTCCCTTCATTAGCTCTTCATTAGCTTCCTTGAGGAATAATTGGACTGTGGCTGGGCCTATCTTGGGTTTCACAGGTGCTTGCTTTGCCTTACTCCCTAACCTGGTCAACCCTTACTGGTGGTAAACGAGTGCAGGCTTTGTATCTAGAAAGATCCAGGTTTGAATCCTGACACCACCACATTCTAGCTGTGTGACCTCGGGCAAGTTACTTAGGCTCTCTGAGCTTACATTTCTTCCCATATAAAATGGGATTGATAATACCCACTTCACAGGGTAGGCAATGTGACAATGCACTAAACATTCTCAGTAAACATAGCCATGATTTTTATCATTTATGCAGAAGGGAAATGCGAAAGGGAGGTAACAAGAAACCTATACTGTGGTTAATTTTCCAAATGAAACCATTTTGCCAGACTCTTAGTAACTATCAGCGGAATGGAAAGGCTGAGGTTTTACAGAGTCATAGTCTTTTAGGACCAGATGGGACCCTAAATATTATCTAGTCCAATTCCCTCCTGTCACAGAGGAGGAAGTTGACCCAGAGAGATGACGACTTGCCTAAAGTCACACAGCAAGTTCATGGCAGAGCCAAGGCAAGACCCAGGACTCCTGACTCCAGTCCTACAACATCATTGTCCTAGGGCCATTTCTTGAGGAAGGTGTGACCTGGTAGGAAAAGAAAAAAAGCAAAGATAGCAGGCAGCATCATACGTGCTTGGCTAGTCCACAAACAGGATAATGAAAAGCCCCAGATCACCTCGATTTGAATGGGTCACCCAAGAAAGGTGAGCATTGACAAATGTGGGAAATATAAATGAGCCCTGCCCTGGTATTTTAGTTCATTCATTAAAGGGAGAAGAGGGAGGGGGTTTTATGCATACCCCATTTACCAAATGCCTCTACTATGCCAGGAGGGTTGCCTCTGTTGGGCATTATCTAATTTATTCCTGAAAACAACCTGCCAAGTAGGAGATCACTTCACAGAAGGGGAACCAGAGATAAGTCTGACGGTCACACAGCTAGCAAGTGGCAGATCTGGGACACCCATGGTTCTTCTGACTTTAAAGCCAGAGCTCTTATAACATGTCACAAGCAAATAATGAATTCAAATGAATTCAAACCTCAGACGAACACTGAGTTTTTTTAACCTCATGAACATTCATATCTTTAAGTTCTCAATAAAACAATGAAATGGATACTTAATAATAAGAGTTCATTATAATGAACTGTTAATATAGCTGAGCATTTGATTTTTGGTCAATCATTTCACATACCCTTATCAGGCATATTGTTGGCAGTGGCTAAAAGCCTTTAAAAGATAAAGACAAAGAACACGCTTAGTCAGAGGTGGGATCAACCCAGGATTGTCAGCCTAACACTCTAACCCAACCCTCCTCTTTTTTAAGACTCCCCATTCTATCTTCTTTAATGGGCAAACCACAGATACTTTTGTTCTAGCTGAGAGAACCCTGTTAATCACATAAACATAAGCCATGATTATTTCCTCTTTCATAGGAAAAAAATCCTTAATGCATTCCTTTTTTCTTTCTTAATTTCTTGTCTTTCTTTTATTCTCCCAAATTAAAAAAAAAAACACGGCCAAAACTCAAGGTTGGAATCCTTCACTGATGTGCAAATAGTTTTTGCCTGGGGAGATCATTAACCCTCAGTCCTGGCAAAAGGGAGGCCCCAGTTCAGAAGGACACAATTGTTATTTTATTATCAGATTAATTAAAGTGGCTGGTGTAAATCCCTTCCACAGTGTGGGGAGAAGAGACCTGGATGGCAGCTAATCTCCCACCATATGCTGTGGCACTTAGAACGCTGGGTAGGACGACTTCAGCTTGGAATGTTTTCCCGTCTAAAAATATACCACCCAACCAACAGCAGGTGACTCATGTAATAGCTCTCGGCTTCACATTCTTCAGAAATTTCTGATCATGATGTTTTCTGCCAGTGCCCCATCTCCAAAAATGGCCACAAAAGTAAATTCCTGTCTCTGCTTTTGAAAAAATAGTAGGACTCGTCCATGAGGCTTTTGCCACATCAATGCTGAGTGAAAAAGTAGACCTTACCGAGGTGAATGGATAAGACCTCTCATTTGTAATCTTTGTTGCAGGCAGAGTATTACTAACAGTCTTGCAAACATGACAGGGATCTTTTAACCACTTTCCCTCACCCATGATCTGGACACCTTGAGTTAGGAGCTAATAAGGGATAGGTAGGGTGGAGACCAGTTAGCAACGACTGTGGGAATGTCAGGTGTCTTCCTTCTGCCCACCTGGGTTCCTGCTTGCTTTTCTGCCTGGCCGATCTTGAACCCAACCTTTCTCCAATCAACACCCCTTGAATATAAGGCAAAAGAAGGCTACTTACAATCTGTTGCCATGCCAACGTAGATGCATTTTTTAAAGCGACATTCCTGGCACTGATTTCGTGTAACTTTGTCTATGACACATTTTCCTTCATATTTACAGGAATAGGATGGATGGAGATTCTTCTGAATGGTTCTTCTAAAGAAACCCTACATGAAAAAGAAAGACCCAAGACAAGTTTCATATTTTCTAGAAACGTATGACTCCAGAATTTTGTGTCTACATAGCTGTGATGGATTGCTTTGGATCTTACCTGTGTATGGGCCTACAACTCTACTTATTCAAATATAGGACAACTGGATCAAAATGAACCTGAAGAATTCTAAATCTGAGCTGAAGATGTCACAGGACTACAGAGTTACCATCCTTTTGGCATTTGTTGAAGGAAAAGAGGCTGATGGAAAAAATCTTGTGTTTGTTTTTATTTTTTTAAACATTGAGTAATAGAAATAAATTATATTATTTCATTTCATAGAGTGCCATCATTGTGCTGCTAAATTAAGCTATGAAGAGATTTGCTGTACTTTATACTGGAGAATAAATGAGCTGGATACTTGCAGTACTGTGTCATCATAATTTAATCATTTAGTAATTAAATGAATATAACTGCCTCTAGAGATCTAGTGTAATTCTTGTTTTTGACTCTTGAGATGATCATAATCAGCTCAGATAGTCCTTGAAACAACAGTACTTGGAGATAGAATAGAACTTTTCAGGTTCTCTACTAAATTCTTCCCATAGCTCAGAGCATTGGGATCTTTCCTTCCAGCACACTCTTTTTCCATAATATCTGTTGACATACACCCTAAAGCACAATATGTCTCTGCCTTTCTTAAGGCATGGAAAACACCCCTGTAAAGTTTCCTGAGGATAACATTTTGTTCCAGGTTTAGGTGGCTTATGTAACTCTCTCAACAGTGTGTTATACTAGAACCTTTCTGGACACGACACTTAAGCCTTGGCAACTATACTTCAGTATTGTAGGAATTAACAATGGCAGGGGGCACTTCTTGTGAGGAGCACATCGCAAAGTGCTGCAGACACTTATCTTCTGTCTCTTTTACAACGTTATGGAGTTGGTACTCAATACCTCCATTCTAGGGGTTAAGAAACAAAGCCGCAGACAGGTTAAATCACTTGTCCAAAGTCACATGGTGAGTGCAGGCTGGACCTCAGACTGGAGCCCAGGAGTTGGACTTCTAATCTTATTTACTTGATTACTTATATGATATAAATATAAACTGAATCCAATTTTACTGTGTTATTTAAATGTTTTAGATGAGCAGATTATAAATAGTCCCCTCTAACTCACCCCTCAAAAAAAAAACAACACCCTTCATTTTAGTGGACTAGCAAGGCAAAGTGCATTTTAAAAAATGTTGTCAACTAAAGCTTAAGTGGGACCTCTAACTTGGTTACAAAAATTATGGGAATAATAAATTGACCTCGATGAAGCCCGAATTTTAATTAATCTGTTTAGCTTTTCTTGGCTTCGATTATGTACACATACCACTTAGAGTTTTCTCACTCAGACACAAGAGCTCTTCTTACGAAGAAAACATCAAAGGTAGGATTTTATACTGGGCAAAGAGGAATAAAACGAAATAATGAGAGCAGTAACTGCAGCAAATGGACTTGATTTTGGGGCATGTGTGTGCAAGTTCTAACAGAAAATCTGTCTTACTGTATCTGGGTTTTGCATTGTCACACAATTGAGTCCATTAGTTTGAATGATGTTGATACACTGCTACAAGACTCACTAAATCACACGCGGTGCTGCTGTTTGGCACCTTGGCAGCGCTTCCCTGCAAAGGAAGTCCAAGGTGGGCAAATGACGCTAAAGCATGAATGCCAGGGCATGGCACGGAGTGGAAAATAAGCTTTCCTGCGCCCCCCACCCCCCCACAACCACATCCTCGATCTCTGTTACCCTCTGTCCAGTCCACTGTGCAGGGGCTACCCTTGCCTGGAGGGGAAAGAAACCAGGAGACTCCAGGCAAGGAGTCATAGGTCGGAGGCAGGGCGGGGAGGGGCTGGGTAGCTTACCTCCTTCTAGAGGAGGCCAAGTTTCCCTAGAAGAGGAAACACCCAAGTTCAGGCAGCCACCGAGAATGTGGACATGCTGCTGTGAGTGTAGGGCCGTTGATGTTCTATCCGAGGTCGGGGAGACTCTTTCTTGCTCACACTCTGACGCTGACTCACGTTTTAGGGGGATGGGGCACATACTGAAGAGTCACACAACACTAAGGGGAGCATGAGGTGCTATATACTGGACATGAGAGTAACATTAATTTTTCCAAAAAGGTTACTCAGTGAATTTTTAAATGAAACAAACACAATATTTTATACTTTGCTTATTTTGAAAAAAGTGTTCAGGTGGCAGGCTCTGCTATTCATTGTGCCATCTTCTCTGTGGCTTTTATCTGTGATGGCTTTTCTTGGGCCCTTCAGGGACCAAATCCCTTTTAATATGTTGGCCTCCTCTAAGTTGTAATAAAAATATTTTGACATGTGATGGGGGACCACTTTATTTGGGTAAATGTAAAGATGCTAGGTTTCTTTTTTTTTAAAAAAATATTTAATTAACTTATTTTTAGATAGAGGGGAAGGGAAGGAGAAAGAAAGAGAGAAACATCAATGTGTGGCTGTCTCTCATGTGCCTCCTACTTGGGACCTGGCCTGCCACCCAGGCTTGTGCCCTGACTGGGAATCAAACTGGCAACTCTTTGGTTTGCAGGCCTGCACACTCAATCCACTGAGCCGCACCAGCCAAGGCAGTTTCTTAGCTTTAAAAAAATGACAACATTAAGTCCCAGAAGTGAATGAACCAGGATGGAAAATGTTTAAGTAGTCTATTTATAAAAAATCTTTTTGAGATGAACTGACAAAAGAAATGTCCCAGCAACTGAATAAGGACACATATTTCATCGACGATTTGTTGGTGAGCGAAGGTTCTGCTTTTATAAATCAACATCAGACACGTCTCCCTGCATTTTGAGAAGACGGGGCTCCATTTCTTCGTGGTGTGAGGTGATGCTGAGTGTCACCTTCCTAGTTCAATATTTGGGCAACTCTTAAAAAAGCGTTTAGTCTTACTTTAAAATAACACTTATTGTGGGGCATTACCAACATTTTCTACAAAAGATACAAGAAAACTAGTCCATCAAAGCACACAAAACATCTCCAGAAGATTTTCACTGTCCTCAAGGAAAAAAATGATTCTCCTTATATACATTGCAAGTGTGGGATAGAAATATTTTTAAATGACAAATCCGAATAAACAAAATGTAAACTATAATCTTTTAAAAAAATCTTTGGCCCACACTTAAACACTGTCTTTCATTTGAAAAACTCGTCTTTTTTCAAGATATTTTGTCCTCACATCAAACAATCTGTATAACTACCCTAGAAAGGCTTCTTTTTGATTTTAGAAATGAGGTAATCCTAGGAGATAAAGGCAGAAGCTGAGAAATCCAGCTTTATCCTACATGATTTTTTTCTCTTAAGTAAACCTCAGTTGAATCAGGCCCCAAATATCCTGTGATTTAGGGAAAAGAGGCTAGTGGATTTCTTGATCACCATGAAAATGTATGTGGGGCAGAATCGCAGGTTAATATGCTTGATTCGTTTAAGTCAGTTGCTAAATGAGCATTAAGTCTTCTCTGTAGGGCACATTCAGTCTTTAGAGTCATTTTGGGAGTTGGTTATTGAATGTAATTTTCATTAGGTTCTCTCCCAGAATTCAAAATTTACCATTTGAAATTGATTTGAAAGAATCTCACTGCTGCATAATTAGGTTGGTAAAGCCTTATGAACTGGGGGCTAATTTAGGAAAAAGGTCCATTTGAATTATTCAGCTTTTGAAATAAGAGAATATATCTAAAGCAGTGCAGTTTTATTATTTTCAAATCAAGTCAATAAAACTGTGCTTTCAAAAGACTGTCTGCAAGTTCCCCAATTAGTAAATAGCCAGGACTTATTTGTAATTGGTTCCATTAAACTCCTTAAAACATTATTTTTATAGATGTAGCAGGAACCTTTAGTCTAGTCTTTGTTAAAACATTAAAAATTCCAGATCAAAGGGGTCTGGATGAATGAGAACATATTCCATCACATTCCAAATTGCAGATGTAAGGCCTTGGGACCTTAGAAATGACTCTTCCCAATGGATGTGGCAGGCCCTTAGCAGGTTTCTGCTAAGTGTTTCCTAATTTCAGACATAAAAAGTAGGGAATTTGCAGGGAAAATAGTTCCATTGGGCACCTCAGCTTGAAACTGAGCTAACATGTTGATTTTTGGGGTTTAGGGTCAAAGGTCAGCAGGAAAGGGGGAAGGAGAGGGAGAGGAGGTAGGGTGGGTGACGGAGGAGGGGAGCCCGAACTGTTTTATAAATTTGAAAAAAACTTTTGTTTTAGAACTTACATCTTGTGGTAATTTTGTTTTAAATGTAAAAGGTAATGAAACATTTAACAAGAAAAAATGTAAGAAGCCTTTCCCTGACTTAATATACTTCCTCCTTTATGAAACATTAGTTGAAGGCTGGCTATAGCCCTGAGTTAAGCTTTATTTATCTTTATAGTAGACTTTCTTTTTGAGGCTAGCTTGTTGGACCAAAAGATGTTGGTCAGAAAGCTCATCTTAATTTTGATGACAAATTGTAAGTAGGCAAATTTAGGCTCCCTTTCAGAAAGTGAACGGACTTGATTACTGGTATATTCTTGTGAAGTATCTCTTGAAGGTAGGTCTGCAGGGACTAAAATAAGCTGATGGAGGACCAGAATTTACTTATTGACTGCAGGCTGTGCAGAAAGCCAATTTGGGTAATTTCAGAACATAACTGAATTTAAGTAGTCTCAAAGATATTCTCTAATGGAGACCTTAAAAGGAAGCATATTCCCCCAGATTAATAGAGGCAAACAGCCTGTGGTAGAGCAAGCTCTGTCTCCTCAAAACACTGGAGGTAAAACAGGAAGAGAAAGGATAATTTCTTGGGATGATAACATGGTGTATCTATGCATTTTAAAATGCAAAGTGAGAATTTTGTTAATTTCTTCTTACTTCATTATCTCCTTGTCTAAAAAAATCAGACATTACACTCTCCCCAAAATTCATGTAGTTATTTTGATTTTGAAAAAAAAAATATAGTTCTTGAACATGGCAAAAAATGAAGAGGACAACCAGACAACCAGCTGGAAGATCACATGGTTCTAATTTCCGCATTCTGAGTCCGGGGAGGGCAGGCTTGGGGGTGGGGGGCGGGGGGCAGGCGCCTGGAGCTGGGCTGAGCCCGGGGCAATTACCTTGCAGCCTTCACAGGTGATGCAGCGGTAGTGATACCCAGTGGCTTTGTCACCACACACCACACAGAGCTCGTCCTTGTCTAAGTAACTGGGGATATACCCTGTGAAGGCGGAAGAAAGGGGAACATGAGAAAGTAATATCATGCTACAGTCAAAACCGCAAGCCAGGAGGAGGGTGAGGAGGGGACAGGGGGTAAGGTGGGCGACAGAGGAGGTGAGGCAATTATTTTATACATTTAATGCAATTTTTGCCTTAGGATCTATTTCTCCTGATTACTGAGTTTTAAATAGAAAAAGTAAATAAAACATTTAACAGGAAAACATTTCAGAAGTCTTTCCCTGACTTAATATATTTCCCCAGTATCTTATCTGGCATTTGATCTCACACTTACAGAGCTAACGTTGGGCCCAGGATTCAGGAGTGCCTTGCCTTAGAAATAGATCGCTTTTGCAGGGCACGTGGGAACATGCCCACAGGCTGCTGGAGCCCATGAGTCATGCAGAGAGGCCAGGATTTGGGACACCTGGAGAGCTTGAGATTCTGGGTAACACAGTCTCTTTCATAAAGCTTATTTTAGATCCTATTCTTAGAAGACTTGATCCACTTTGAAATCAAGGCACTCTGTGAATAAATTCAGAAAACTTTAGAGCTGGAAAGGTCCTGGGAGAGCATCAAGTACTTCTGAGGTGAACAGGCCTTCAGAAGTTTGTCCTCTTCAGGGCCACCCCAGGAGGTAACAGCAGGGATTAAACCTAGGTCTACTCGACTAACTTCTCGTCCTGCAGTATAAGTTGTGCTGGTTGTGTGTGTGTGTGTGTGTTTTGTAACAATAGACAGTTAACTTTTAAGTAGAATGAATAAGGCCATCTAAAAATAAATTTGGTAAACTTGTGATATTGTGATACACAACCCAACAACATTGGGTAGTGTGAAATAACAGGGGTTCTGTTTATTAAGAGAGAACAAATCCAACCATGACAAATCCATAGATACAGAACTAAGAGTGTGCTACTCTGTTATGTTCCTTGACTCAGGAAGCTAACGTTTCACAACAAAAACAAAAGCAGTTTACTTCCCAGCTGCCTTTGCCTCTTTCTTTTCACTTATAGATGGTGTCCAAACAAGAAACAGATTCAGAAGGGAAAGTTCAGTTTCACGTGTATCAACAATTCACCATAAAAGCACACAGTTTTAATAAGACCAAAAAAATCAAAATGAAGGCTGATTTGTTGGGCTGCGGAGAAGGGCGAAGCTGCGAAAACAAAATCACTCTTTCTCCTGATCATGGGTCCCTTATGAAGTCCTTTGGCCAGTGAACTCTTTCTGGTTTCATTAAAGATTAGCCAGGTTGAAATGACAGATGACTTCGTCGTTTTACCAGATCTTTTGTTAAACTAGGTCACCGAGGGCTAACCTTTCAGAACAAAGTTATAAAGAAAATAGAAGAAAATGATTCCTTTTCACAACTTTTTAGAAATTACTTTGCTCAGACTTTATTTTTTATAAAAATGTCCCTTCTCGGGAGAGAGATAAATGACTTCGAAGTGGGATTTGGTCATGTGTAGGATTATCTTTTTAAATATCACAGCCTTTCTCAGTTTACTTCTGCGGTGTGGAAACCACAAGTCATCTGTTGAGTTTGCTTCAGGGTTTCAAACCTCTCATCAGGCATTTTAATAAAGAGTTCTGGGAGGGATTCAGGCAGGGGAAGAAAAAGGAGACTGCAAGATTTGTATGTTTAACAAAAAATTCATCTATGAATTCGGAAAACATTCATTTAGCATCCACTCTGTGCTTAGCACCGTGCTAGGTCCTGAGAATATAAAGACAAATAAGATGTGGTTTATTTCTTTGAGAAAAATACAGGATGGGGCAAGAGCAGGTTTACAGTGTTTGTATGGAAAAATAATATAACAATTAATAAATAATATATAAGAATAAACTCCACGTTTTATGTATCCACAAATGTAAATCTATTTTTGCCCCACTCTGTATGTGTAAGCAACTGAATCCTGTATTTCCAGTCCTGGTCATTTCTTAATGAGAGAGAGAGAAAAAAAAAAGGTGACAGTGAAGGAAAAGAACATGAAAAGATGCTCAACACCACAGCAAGGAAATTCAAACCCCGATGAGGTACCAATTGACTTCCTCTAGGATGGTTATGGTGAAAATGACAGGAAGGAGCAAATGTTGGCGAAGATACAGAGAAGCTGGAAATCTCAGATCCTGCTAGTAGGAATATAAAATGTGCTTTGAAAAACAGTGTGGCAGTTCCTCAAAATGTTAAACATAAAGTTGCAAATGACCCCGCAACTCCGCTCCTAGGTATATATACCCGTGAGAACTGAAAACCTGTGTCCACAGAAAACCGTGTATGTGGCTGCTCAGAGCAGCCTTATTCAGACAGAATGTCCAAAATGTGGACACAACTCATATGTCTGTCCAATGGTGAATGGACAAACCAAAGGCGCTATACTCACACCATGGAATATTATTCAGCCATAAGAGGAGTGAAGTACAATTATATGCAACAAAACAGATGCATCTTGAAAACTATATGCTAAACGAATGAAGCTACTTGAAAGACCACATATTTTACAATTTCATGTACATGAAATGTCTAGAATAGGCCAATCTATAGATGCTGAAATTAGATAAATGGTTGCCAAGGCCTGGAGGGTGGGAGGAATGGGAAGTGACTGCTGAAGAATACAAAGTTTCTTTTCAGGGTAAAGAAAATGTTCTGGTATTGTGTAGTGTTGACGGCTGCTCAACTCGGTGGATATACTAAATACCATTGGATAAAAAAACATTGTTTTGTATGGACATATTTTGTATACTTTAGATGTGTGCATTTTATGATATGTGAAATATGTCTCAATAAAGCTGTTATTAAAAAACAAAGAAATGAAGGCAATACAAGAGGGTGGTTCCATTTGATAAAGATTTATATAGGTAATACTATGGGCTAGGCAATGTGCCAAGGATCTAAAAGTGACTGCTTTAATTTCGGGGGACACTTTCAGTGCAGTGGGGAAAACAGAAGAGATCACCTGCATATGATGCGGGAGACACTGGGAGAGGGCTACGTCCAGAATCACAAAAGGGAAACCTTGGAGGAGCCTTCCCGCCTGCCCCTCAGCTGAAGCCCGGGTTGGGGGCGCCCATACCTCCTTGTGCTTCCCCAAGAGCAGCCCTTTATTATCTGCACTGTAACTACGGTGAGCTTTTCCCTCCCTTAGCCTGTAATCTGTGACTCACAACAGATTTGTATAATTCCAGCTAGAGGGCAGGGATCCTGTCACTCGTGCTGAAACCCAGGCGTCTGGCACCTGCTTCCTTTGACGGCTGCCTCAGTTTTTCAACATAGCTGTTATCTGCGAATGGCAAAGAATGTAAGGGCAGGGGCGGGGGTGGGGAGGTTGGGGAGCGTCTATCTGGAACCTACAGATGGAAAGGACTAAAGACCTCAGCAAGGGTTTTTGAAAGAGATGGTAATGCAAATACAGGTCCAAACTTCTGACCTAATGAAAACTGCATTAGCAAGTTTGGTTTTTGGTCAAGAAACCAAGATTCCACTCTGATTAAGACAAAAACACCCAGATTCAAGCTCCACAAAGAACTAGTGATCTGGAGAGACACATGCTCACTAATCAGCTAGATTTGATCCTGCTTTTTTTTTTTTTCTCCTCTTCTCTGATCACTAGGTTTCATACGGGAGACAGGACTAAGAAGAGCTAAAGTGCAGCACCATTTCCCCACATGAGAGTCACTCTGTCCAGGCCAGTTTGATTAAGATGCCATCGCCAAAGTCTGAACTGTATACAGCTTGCTCACCTTTCTACTTTGGGCTCTATAAACCACTCTTCATTCCACTCAAAAGAGTCTTTGCTTGCTGGTCAGATTTCCCCTTGACATGACTGTAAACCCCAAACACCAAGATCGTTTACCACTATCTTGCAGGTAATGGATGGGCTGGGACTCACATTTCATGAGAAAAACTAACAAAATCTATAGGAAGACTCATTAGGCGCCGATTCATTCCAAACACAGTTTTTGCAGAGTCCATGCATACCAAGAAACAACATAAAAATTCCACTAAGTCTCTGCATCCAGAGAACTAATTAGTTATTAAGCGTAAAATCGGGGGTGGGTTATAGTGAAAATGACCAGAGATGCTCTGGGCTTAACCACCATTTATCAATGGACTTTAGTGGTCAGTCTTCATGAATCATAAACAATGTGTGTATTAGTTCCTTGCAAGTCCAGATTTTTAAAATAAAACTACACAGGTAATATAGTTCATTATAGAACAACTGAAAGATGTAAATTAGTAAAGCACACATTTTCTGTCAGCTCTCCACCACAAACGTAACCCCTGTTTGTGCTGCAAACGTAACTAGCATTTTGGTGCTTCTTCATCTTCGTGTGTGTGTGTGTGTGTGTGACTGTGGTGCATAAGTGCTTGTGTGGGCACTGAAACACATGCTTATAAAACACAAAGTAACTTTAAATAACAAAGTAACCCAATTGTTAAAACACTGTACCTGCCTGGTAAAGGCAAATGGAATATACATATCAATGTCAGGAAAGTTACCTCTTATACATAGAGGTTACATACAGTTGATCAGAATAAAGACTTTTGAGCTTTTGATATCAAGTGCAGGTGGCAGAGATATGGGAGAAAGAGATACAGGTTATTTCCTTCTAGTATCACATTCAGGAACAAATGGTAGTACAGTTAGACAGTATGTTGCTTGTGGGACATGCCTTGGGAGGGCCGGAGAATGTTAGCCAGAGTTAGGAAGACGCAGGTCCCTCACCATCGCTCCCTCAACCTGCTTTATCTTTGGTGTAGGCAGTAGGACACTGGATCCCTCCTCCCTTAGTTCAGCAGTAGATGGTTGAACTGTTTGACCTTTAAGGTTCGCGTGAACCTGGAATCCCATGGTAATTCCACCTGTGAGTGGAATGGGCGCCTCCTGTTTTCAGGAGGCTGGCCTGATGGATGCTTTGCTCTGCTCGCTTATTTTTCCTAGATTATCTTGGTGGGTGGATGAATAGGTGATTAAGTAAGTCTTTAGTTAAATATTCAAGACT